CTGAATGGAAAAATCGCATGCGCCAACTTCGAAAATCTGGCGTAGAGCTTACCGATCAGCCTCAAGTAAGAGAGAAAAACAATCATGTGCAGTGATAAAGACCCTTCGCACTAAATTTCGGGGGGTTTCCCATTCCCCTCTCCCAACTCTAACCCTAACCCAAAACCCAACCCTCTTAACTCTAGGCCTAATCCTGACTTCAACTCCAACACTAACGCCGACCCCAGCTCGTCCCTCCCCTTTGGAATTTGAGGCAGGGCTCCTGTAGGACGGGGGAGGTCCATATTCCCCTGTCCGACGCGGGGGGAGACCGCTTATTACTTTAAGAGTTTCTGTCCGCTGGTCAGCCTTCAAACATTCCGAGCATCAACGGCGCTGATGTTGACATGCATTGGCACCCTGGAAACCGTACCAACCTATTTCCCAGACATGTAAAAACACGCTGGAAGGAGTTGTGCTCCAACTGTGTGGTGCGACGCGGACCCACGCGAGCAGTTTATACGATCCAGTCCACAATTTGTAGATAAATCGGAAGCTGAACTCGGAGTAGCTAATACAGAGACATACCTTCCAATTCCTAACGGAATAGGTTTATCACAAAAACACCTGTGTGTATGGGTAAATTTCTTTGAAGGTGCATTACTTCCATTGGAGTTCGTCTGTTAACACTGGAGGTGTCGGTTTTCCCAGTCTAAACAAAACTAGTATTGGGACATTAGTCAGAGAATCTAGCAGAACCTTTGTTTCGATAAAAACAGATGTTTTTATGGTGAAACTAGGCAGTCCTGCTACTGTATTCGCCCGAATAATCGTAAGCCTCTGTCCACTAGACAATATTTACTCCACTGGGCTCTATTCGACTGAAACACTTTTTATTTCGATACTTTTATAGAGGGTTGTATGCGAACACACAGTTATTTTTCATAAAACTCATTCAGGAATTGCGCACTTTACATTAACTAATAGCGTCCAACCGTTTCACCTTGGGAACTGTGGTTTGCAGAAATATTATTTTCTTCAGTAATTTAAAGTCTTTCCGTTTATAGCGGGGGTAATAAAATGACATTACTTGCCTGTACGGGAAATTGCCTAGACATGTTGCTTCATGTACCATGGTTAAAGAAACACTGTGTGTGATTTGTAAGTCAGATTTAAAAAATCCTGTATTCAGACATTAATACTGATAAGACTGAAACGTGAGCCCACACTGAGTTAGGCATGGTAGGATGTTGCTGTTTGCATAGGCGTTTTTTCAGCCGCACGTGAGCAAAAGTCACTGCACGAATGGTATGCGTTTTTTGCATTTATTTTCGAACCTACAGCAAATTCGGTTGCAGCAACCAGAGAGGATACATAAACATATCATGCGCCGCTGTACGGCTGCTGGTTGGGCTTGAGAGAGAGAGAGAGAGCCCGTAAGGCACAACGGAACGAGTGATTTCCGTAAGAACGATCAGTGAGCTCCCCTTACCATTGTATATTCCCGATCGAAACCGACAGGCAACGGGCTCGTGGCTCAGCGTTTAGGGACGTGGACTTCTAACTAACAGGTTGCGAGTTCGAGCCTCGGGTGCTCTACACTTCGGGGTTGGGTATGGCTGGCTGACGACGGCTAATAAGCCAGAAATGTCCATTCCGGTCTCCGTTGTCTTCGTCAGTAATACCATTCTGCATTAACATTTCAGTTTCGAGTACATTTTGTGAAAACCTGCTTCCGTCCTAGATGATTTTTCGCATATTTGGATGTCATGACGCTCGCTATTTGTGCTGGGTTGTTAGAAACAGCCTGCATTTCCGGTTGTTCATCAGGTTTATACCCTTCATACTATACCCCTTTCCTAAAACAGGTTTCTTCGTAACGTATGGAGTAGCCCCCTGGTACACATAAAGGTACTTCGGAAAATTTAAACCACGCTGTGTACGCTGAAAACAGCATTTATAAATCCCAGAACAGGAATTGCCATGCCGTCGCCTCAGAAAGTCCAGTGATTACGTCCTTAAAACCGTAGTCATTTTTCGCAAAACAACTACAACAGATGATATGTTTTTTGCTGTATTTGCAGAAAATACGAGTGAATTTAAAGAGACTTCGAAAATAAATGGAAAATGTGCACGCCTATAAAGGGCTCCTTTTTGGCTTGGTGACCTTATCATAGGCGACTGACAGAAGTGCCCCACACGCACTAGTATAGTATTGTGTAAGATCGGTTTTGCGACAACATTTGCGTAAGCGTCTGTTTTTGAGGATCATTTGAAGATTTTGGCCCGTGCTTCAGGGGTTCCGCACATTCTCTCACCAGTCGCCAGTAAATAAATATTGGCACGGCTCAGTTGTTTGGGGTTCTGATAATTTCTGCTGTCCGTACAGTCTATTCTGAGCAGTTTACATCTCAGTGCACAACACTTACGTTCCAACGCCATAGTATTTCTAAAGCAAGGCTAAAGAGCGAATAGTTTTGTCAGTAACAGTCAGTAACAGCTAACAAGTGTCCTAAAAAGGACTCGAACTAAATTACACTTAGTGATAAAACAGGATACTACAGAAAAATGCGGAAAATAATTTTACAATTGACAATGATTGTCTGCGAAATCGTAGATTCTGTAAACCGGATTTGGCCTACGCGTTAAGACAACGGTCCAACCAATCCGAATTCTGAGGACTTGAGTAGATACACTACGTGGTATTCCTTTGAGAGGTGTTCTAGCTTTTTTGATTAGCCATCAGTCTTCCCTTCCGCTGCCGTCCTCACAGCTCGCGGGTACTTTTTGGTGCAGTCACCTAACTGCTGCATACAAAAGCCCGCGCAGCCTGACGCCCACGCAGAGGGTTGTTAGCCTGCTTTCGCGTGCTGGTGGAGTGGGAAGGCTAAGCGACCTATCGATCGGTGGTGCAGAAGCCTTCAGCAGGGCACAAATACCGCTGAAATAGGTGGCTTTGTCTGTTGTGCTACTGACTGAGACCCGTCAGTCTGGTAATTTGCGCAACGTCTTCTGCGATGACAGTGTGCTGGGTATGTGGCAGTTCTGACTGTGCAGCTTCATGCTGCAGTTCCGAGCAGTTCTGCACCGAAGGAAGTAGTCGATGGTCCGTAGATGGTATAATGGGTGCGTTGGATTACGCGGAAAATACAGTGAGTGACCTATCTCATGAAATGTTGGCTGAAATTCTGAAACGCGTTTCCGATTAGGAAGGATTACTTGGTCGCGGTTGTGATACTGATTATCTCAAGGCATACTCTTATAACATTCCGGACTGGGCAGGATGTCTGCTTTTAAATGCACTTCCTTTCAATCTCCTGTAGAAAGCGTGCTCGGTAAAAACTGACTACTTGAGTAGCATGCATTTTCCCCATTGATTTTCGATGGTCTTGGAAATTCAAATATATTTTATAGAAACCATAAACAAAAATATGTTTTCCTTTAGTCAATCAATAGAAACTCACGTCTTCTTTATATTTTATACTTAAGGAAGGAGTATAATTAGGTTTTAAAAAAGTTTCTAATTATGAGACTTTTTAAGACCGTGAAATGTCCATTCACATAGCATCGTACCTGGCCGTTTACCACTGCTACTCATGAAATGTACAACATGGTCCGCATCCATTGCAAAATTTTATGAACTCTGTATGATATCCCTTTAATGGCATAGAAAAATGTGTGATTTTCTTTACGCGGATAGCATGCACCTTGTAGAGTGAAAGCACTAAGCACTAATGCAACGAATGATCAGGCTCCGAATTATTCGGCAATTAGAAAACTTTTTTAAAACCTAATTATCCATCTTCCTTAAGTATAAAATATAAAGAAGACGTGATTCTCTATTGATTATCTAAAACAAAGCATATTTTTTATGGTTTCTATAAAATATATTTGAATTTCCAAGACCATCGAAAATCAATGGAAAAAATGCGTGCTGCTTAAGTAGTCATTTTTTACCAAGCACGCTTTCTACAGGAGATTGAAGGGAAGTGCATTTAAAAGCCGACATCGTGCCCAGTCCGAAATGTTATAAGAGTATATTTTAAGATAAGCAGTATTACAACCGCGACCAAGTAATCCTTCCTAATAGGAAACGCATTTCAGAATTTCAACCAACATTTCATGAGATAGGCCACTCACTGTAGACACAGGAACCTAGTTTGGCAGAGGACTTAATGCTAACCGATTTTTATCATTTCTCCAGAACTGTGGAAGTACGAGAGCCCACAGTCACGAAATCACAGCTTACTTTTTGACTGACGCTCCTATTTCTGTTTTGGGAGCACGCCGAAGTGGGCGAGTATGAGATCGCTTTTTATTTAAAAATACCCTTCTTCTAGGCATAAGTTTGCATCTGCCGAAATAAATCACGTAGGGGGCCTCATTAGTAATGGTTAACTACTGGTTGATTCAGCGTTTTTTGAAAGCAACAGACTCTTTTAGGTTGATACAAGCAGCTTTGCGCTTTTGACCAACGATAATTTGTTTTTGGTAAGTGTGACTTTCAGCATAATAAATAAGTGCCATATGCTCTGCTCAAAATCGATTAATGACTGTGGTCAGAGTGTGCTGTCCGAATGTATTTTCTCCCTCCTCTTCCCTCTTAGTTTCCATCCTCTTCTTCCTCAAAGCTCCGTGCTGTACGGGCATACTAAGAAAGCCATGACGTAGCCCTTTAATCACAATTAATCACCTGATGAGATGGTGCGCTACCAGTCTAATGTCAAACACGCCAGGGAAGTGCGTGCAACTACAAAACTTCTGAACTACTCCCACAATTACGACCCCTTGGGAAAGGAGTAACAATGACTCAAGGTTCAATCGCTGTTTCACATAAACTCAACTGTCAGATAAAAGGAAAGACAGTTGTACGCTCCAAATCGGAATTCGGAGAGGAAGAGAGGAGAGGCTTGAAAGTGTGGCCTTTAATGTATCAGGACACGTAAGTGAATGGTAGCGAGTACCCAACAGGGAAAGAGTTCAAGTGCAGCTGGTGGTTTTAGGGTTCACCACGCGTGTGTATGTATGCACGCAAATCCAAACTGCCGCCGCCTCCGCCTCACAAAGCCAGCGCCCAACCGCTGCCAACGTGTCCACGATGTCAACAGACATTCCAGGTGCTAAATGGACTACTTAGGCACCTCCGGACCAACTGCAGCACGCGCGGTGCACCAACCGTTCTCTCTTCATCCGCCTCTCCCTCATCTACAACGCCGTCAACTAGCGCTGGCCGCCCTCCCGAATCACCACCACCACCACCACCACCACCACCACCACCACCACCATCACCCTTCTTCTCCATCTTTTTCTTCTCCTCCATCGCCTCAACGTCTGTCACTGTGACGTCTGCCATGCTCATCAACTCTGCACAAAATCCTGACGCACCAACAAGCGCCGTCAACGCCATTGACGAGGACCGGGTCTATACCTGCCCTAATTGTGATCGCACCTTCACCTCACGCCTCGGCCTTGTTGGTCACTTGCGAATCCATCACACAGTGACTGGCGATCCAGTGCATGGAGCAGCAGTCCACACCCGCTGCATTCACCTCCACTGTCCACATTGCCCTCGCACATTCATGCATCACATGGGTCTATTCGGCCACATGCGTGTCCACGAGGGCGGAATTGACCGCAGCCCCGACACACCTAACACATCCAACACACCCACCATGCCAAGTTCCGCCACACTCCGCCACTCAACGCGCCCGCCACATCCAGCTCCACCAGCACCATTACCGCAGCTGATACTGACACCGCCGGCTTCTCATGTCCACACTGTCCCCGTACATTCACCTCACGCCTCGGCCTGGTTGGTCACTTGCGAATCCATCACACAGAGACTGGCGAGCCAGTGCCTGGGGCGACAACCCACACTCGCCGCATACGCCTCCACTGTCCACACAGCACTCGCACATTAATTCGCCGCACGGGCCAGCATGCTATGCTTGGCGGGGTTACTGTGTCACTGATTTACTGGGGGATTTACTGTAGATAATAATCCTAACTAAAACGGGTATTGTCAGAAAATCGAGTCGAATATTTGATTCAAAAAATTGTAAAGGTGAGACATGGTTGCAGCTGTTTCATTTGCGAGATTGGATATAGAGGCGAAAGCCAGCTTCCCCTCGAAAATTGTAGTAGAAGTAAGCTAACCGAAATATTGTTAACTCCATCCTGCTCTAGGTGATTCCACGCGCATTATTTCAAAGATTTTTCCCTACAACGTCAAGCAGTGTGCTATTAGGGGACATATTATCAAAAATCTTTCGACCAGTCGAGTTGTCTGTCCAGCTTGAATTTTGATGCACTGCGAGGCGGACGCAAAACACTCTCTGAGAGGGTCTCTGCCGGGAATGGATCACACTGCAAATGATTTTGGTTGACTTTCATAAACAAGTACCTTATGATCATCTGTGCCTACTTGGACTTTGACCACTACGGCTTGGTCTAGTGTTATGGTAACTAAAAGCGATGCCGAACCCTGCAGCAAAACCCACCTTAGCCCAGGACGCGTCTCAATAGGCTAAGTACTCCCTCTCTCTCTCTCACGCCATAACGAGAAGGTAAACCTCAAGCCATGACTTGTTGAGGGTAGCAGTTGCAAAAATCCTTTGAGTAGGAGACAGACTTGTGTTCTGATGCACCAAGACGCCTGTAACGCTGAGCCCTATTTCTCCTGGGGTTGGTTTTACATAACCCTGTTGGCGTGAGTGTAGCGTTGGCTGAAAGTCATAGTCAGGCTGATGGGTCTCCTGTTTGTTGTTCTTTGATGTTGGTGATTAGGCGCTGGTCTGATGGAAACCCAGCGGAAAAGCGGATATTTTCCCCTCCACTTCATTTATTTCCGTCATGGTCATTCGTTTTTTTTCTTGTCCCATAACCCTCGTAGCCTGTTTTTATTGATATTCGTTTATATGAATCGTCTAATTTTCCTAACCAACATCTGGATTTAGGTATGCCTCACTATTCGGTTTATTCCGATACAGGCTGGTGGGAAAACAATGACAAAACCCTGGAATTACTGGCCTTGGTTGTGCACCGCGGGCAAAGGTATGGTTTACGCCCGGGATTAATTACTCGGGGGAGCAATTATGTTGAGGAAAAGAGTTGAAAATCCAATAAATTTGTGATATCTCAAATTCTGATCTTCCATACTGTCACCAATCAAAAGGGGGCACTATTTTTGCTATCTAATGATAGTAATAAATAAATTTAGCTTCCATTTTGACGCACTGTCAAAAAGGGCTTAGCATTGTCGTACTTTTACTCCGATGAATGCCTTAAAGTTTCTTGACCAACCTAACGCAGCAGCCATAGAGAGGTCTATTCATACCTTTCACTGGCACCTACAAATAAATATCGCCAGTCTTCTAGTTTTAGCAGAATTGCCCCCCCCCCCCAAAGTAAGTGACACCGGGCGTAAAACATACCCATGCCGGACCACGTCCATAGTATAAACAAGTATCGCCCGGTACATGTAATGGAGGTCGGGTCGCGTGGGGCACGTTTAGACGGCCCATTCAGTCTTGTTGGCCAATGCGCCCGTCCCACTTCCGGTCACTCTGGCACTGCCTTGCCATCGGAGCAGGGTGGAGGGGGGGGGGGAGGAAAAAAGGGAGGGCGGCGGATGTTGCGCATGTCTGACTCACAAGTCACTAATGTAGGCACGAATCCGTCCTGCCTCGCCCCCTTCACGGGGCACGCGGCAGACATCGCCGCCTCCAGCGGTCGAACTTTCGTAAACACTAAAAGTGTCCTTGACAGATTAAGCCGTAAGAGTACCTACGTCGCGCAAATATCTTCCAAGCTAAGTTCCCACAAAAACGCTTGAACGATCGTCCCAAGTCGAAAGACAAGCTCATTTAGATTGTTATATGTTATGGGAAAGCAACAGCTTTTTGCAATACATTGGAAGTATTCCTATGACAGTTTCCTGAGGACTAGTTGGAGGGCATGCGTAAATTCAGGACGGTCCAAAGATCCGGCGTTGTTAAAGGTACTCGTTGGGCACCTACATTTGGACATAAAATTTGCGCGAACCAAGTTTGCCGGAAAATGGAATGAATGAAATTAGTATCCAATACACTACCAGAGAGGGCTGCAGCATAGTTGTGCAGTTATTACCACCAAAACCCTGAAAAGATACATTGAGAATCAACTGGAAAGTACCCTCGTAAAGATAGAAGGACGTGAGCGTAACGTGTGTCAGTGCGCAGCTGTCCTTGACACCCTGAAGAGAGATGAAAACAAGAATTCGGCATCTTTGCGCAGTCCACAGGAAGGAGACGTGAAGAAGCAAAGAGTTTTGGATTTTTCAAAAGTGTATATGAATTGAAACTACAAGCCTGACTTTCAAAGGTTTAATGTTAGTACGTACACAACGAAACTTATATTAAACGTGATAAAACGGGACTTGAAGCCTTATTCCTTGGACCAAAATTTTGCATGCCTCATTTAAAAAATTAATCAGTTGGAATTAGAAACTCAATTCGAGAACCTCTGGAACCCAACCTACGATCCCGTACCCACTTTCAGAGACGGCACCTAACATTTTAAATCGACATTGTGGGATTACAATTACCTGTACCTGAAAAAGGGGCCAAAATGTCGGGGAGTGCTGACAAAAGCTCTTATGGAGAGGTTGAAAAAACTTCTCTAACCATTGTGCTCATGGGAAAGCTGGAGAAATTTAAACTAAGCTACCAAATGAAAAAGCTTAAACAATACGGTCGCTACGTCGATCATATGTTTACGATGGTAGGGGGCGCTCACTAATCGTTATTACGGAACTCACTCGTTCCGTTGTGTCTTACGAGCTCTCTCTCTCTCGAGCCCAACCAGCAGCCGCACAGCGGCGCATAATAAAGGGCAGAATGTTATTACCGACAAAGACAAGGGAGACTGGAATGGCCATTTCGAGTGTATTAGCCGTCGTCAGCCAGTCATACCCAACCCCGAACTGTGGAACACCTGGGGCTCGAAATCCCTACCTGTAAGTTAGAAGTCCACGCCTCTAACCACTGGGCCACTAGTCCGTTGCCCTGTCGGTTTCGATATCTTTGCATTTGCAACCGCAGAAACCGATGTAGCTACCCTTCTTAAAGGCGGTAAATCAGGCAAATCCGTCTATAAAAGTCACGTTGGAGATGAAAACGTCTGGTCCATTTCCTTTCCGAGATTTCCTTCTAGACAGGAGACCTGATAGTAGCGTCCGAAGGAGCGTCCATCGGAAGAAAACCTGGTCTGAACAATACATAAACACTGGCAGTCTTGTGGCATGCGTAGACTGCCCGTTCAGTCTTGTTGGCCCCTGCGCCCGTTTCCTCCTCCGGTCGCTCTGGCCTTGCCAGAGAGTGCGGCAGATGTTGCTCATGTCTGACTTACTTCTCACTAACGTACAGTAGGTGGGCTCACTCATGAAATGTCAACCGAAACTCCAAAATGCGCTTTCGTTAGGAAAAGACTAATTAAGTAGCGTTGTAAAACTAGTCAGCCTGCAGCTTAATTCTATGATATTTCAGTTACATCGGGATGCCGGCTTTCGAATAAACTTCCTACCGGCTGCATGCAAAAGCTACACTCTGTAAAAAATGACTACTTAAGTAGCATGCATTTTTCTCATTGATTTTCGATGCTCCTCAATATCTAATTATATTTCATGGAAAACATGCGTGAAAATGTTCATTCTTTTGCTCATTCGATAGATAACTATGTCTTCTTTTAGTTTTACGCTCGAAGAAGGGAGATAATTAGGTTTTCAAAAGAGTTTCTAATTGTGAGATTTTATAACACCCTGAAATGGCCGTTCACAAAACGCCATGTTTCAGCATTTACCAATATGACTCGTAAAGTTAACAATATGGCTCAAACCCACTGCTAAATTTTATGAACCCCATATGGTCTCCTCATAATACCGTGGAGAAATGTGTGGTTTTCCGTACGCAGAATATAGAAGGCTTGTAGCTTTGAAACCCTGAATCCATGTGTGACGGTAGAGCGGGTTCAAAATTATTCGGGAATTGGAAATTTTTTTAAAACCGAATTATGTCCCTCTTTCGAGCGTAGACTTAAAAGAAGACGTAATTATCTACCGAATGAGAAAAAGAATGGATATTTTTATGCATGTTTTCCATGAAACATAATTGGACATTTAGGGTCATCGAAAATCGATGAGAAAAATTCATGCTAGGTAAGTAGTCATTTTTTACAGAGGGTAGTTTTTGCATGCAGCCGCAAGGAAGTATATTCGCTAGCCGGCATCCTGAGATAGCTGAAATATTGTAGAATTATGTTGCAGGCGGACTAGTTTTACAACCCTTCTTATTACTATTTTCGAAACGAAAACGCATTTAGGAATTTCGGTTGACATTTCATGAGTTAGCCCACCTACTGTAGGCGCGAATCCGTCCTTCCGCGCCAGGCACGACTGGCTACCGAAGAAATTAATACACCTGCAGTCACAGTCCCCCCCTTCCCTTTCCTTATTTTCTGTTGGCGCTCGAATAGACTTATTTGAGAACACGTCACGACCCACCAACAATGGATGGTAGACGAGGGTGGCTGTTAGTATTAAAAACACTGAGGCCTGTCTATTGTAGCCCACCCATCAGGACGGAGAGGAAATGCATGACTGCATTGGAGGGACTCACCGCCGGCGTCGGCGTTAGCTGGCTGACGCCTTAAGGTAATTCAGGACGAAAGTAAGCGCGAGAGTTACGCCAGCCCCTGTTCCTAATCCGCCGTCTAAAGTTCATGGTTTTTGACCTTTCTTATCGCGGTTGGGTACAAACTGCCGCTAAGTCTGCAAAAGTATGAATACCGATCCGCTGACCTTACTGCACCTCAAAGTCCCCCCCCCGCCCAGTAAACGCAACTGAAGATGCGCTTGGTGCTGGAGAGTTCTGTTTGGAAACGATTT